CACACACACACGCACGAACACAGAGGCTTTTCCATTTTGCTGGTTTGTTAATCCCAGCCATGTATGGGGGACATGTGGAAGCAGCTTGCCACAGCTGATAGGAGAATTATGTGGGTTTTAACCAGCTAAATAAATAATTATGTTTGTGTAAATTCCTCAAAAGGATTTGTATTAACTCCTTTTTTTGATGCCGGCTCAGAGATGTGAAGCATGGTGAGAAGACTTGTACCAGACCCACCATAATGAAGAGCACACGAGGACATAAACAATACCACAGGTGTCGGATAGACAAAAGTGTGTGTCAGAAAAGGTCTGAACCATTCGGGTTGCATTGGAGGGCACGTGCACACACCACACGCATGAACACACACACACCCACACACCCACACCCACACACACACACATGATATCATTCAAACCCAGGTCAGGCTGAAAGAAAGGGCCTCTAGTAGCAATAAAGAAAACTAGGAGAGTTAAATGTTGAGTCCAATCAAGCACTAATCCTGCTGCCATCATCACAGCAGATTACATATCATGGTGTCTGACATCAGTCAAATGCAGAAACACACACACACTCACGTACATGTGTTACAAATGAGTACATCTGCACATGCTCACAGCTAAAAATACGCTAATGTTTCGAAGCCAGCTCAACTTAGGGTAAACACAGCAGTGCACTGCACGTCAGTGATAAGGCCATCGAGGAGGGTAAAAGTATTCCCGTCTTTACTTGAGAAAAAGCACTCACTTCAACTTGGGGGGAAAAAGGAACCTATTTGTTTGCTGTGATTGAGTTTGTGCTTAGTTAAGCTTGAGTTTGAACTTTGAGGCAGAACAAATAATATATGCCTCATGAATTTTGAGGAGAGGAGAAAAGAGGAGAGGAGAAAAGAGGAGAGAGCCTCTATATCCTTATCTCTTTTTGGGGAATTGACAGGTTCCCTGAATATATCATGCATACATAATGTAGACTATTTGAAACTGCTTCAAAGTTAATAAGGGCAAAACTCAAAGTGATTTCTAGAATGTCTCATTTGTGTTTTTATATTATATTTTAGTACCAGACAATGATTTTATCAAATTGGAATAATTGTGATCCCCAGTTCTGTGATCCAGAGAAATACAATCAATCTGAAAAACATTTCAAGCATGAAAGAATCCTCTTACCATTATCTGTTGCCAGGAACGTGGCTTCATATACATTGTTTTTGACGTAGATGGACTCCCGGTCGAGCATTGCCGTGGTTACTATCTGACCGTTGGTTCTGTTGATGGACAACCAGTCCGCCGGGTCATTCAGCTTTGAATACCTAAAGACGCACAAGGACAGGTCGATGGAGAAGTTAGCGCCGGGCTTTCTGTGTTTACAAGCAATTATACATTTTCTCTTGCATCTGTGCATAGATTGCCTGCACACACACACACACTCACAAAATCACAACTGCCTGACCTTCACACAGTTTAATTCTTCATTGACTTCTCCTCCTGAGCCTGCAGCCTACAGTCAATTTCACCTCATTTTTAACTCCTGTGTACCAGGCACTGAAGTCAATTACCTCCCTAGTTAAGCACTGCTTACATGCTTATATTGCACATATTCACAGGAAGTGTTTTGCAGAAGGGTGTAGGGTGCAGGGAATTTTAGCCCTGGCAGGGTTGTATAGTGCATGCATGTGTTAGATATGGATGTTTGCAAAAAGGAAGCATGTGTATCGGCTGGAGAAGGGATGATAGCATCTTGGTGCTGATCGTCAAACAGGAAAGTGGACGTGGTAGCAGGTGATGACTCTCCCCTGGGATAAAGTGAGGGGAAGGAAAGGGGGGGGATCATCTCCAGGATTGAATCCCAATCTCGCTCGGATCTAACTGTTCTTGTTTCTCTGGCTTTTGTCGCTTTCGGCTCGTTCCACACTTTCTATTTTATCTGATCTCTCTCTCAACCAGCGCCGCCTCACCTCATCTTGCTGTGCTTTTGTATTCATACATTTTCGTATCCCTGTCTGTATCTTCTCATCCTCGTCTCATTCCCTCTGTGATACAGGGTTCATAAACTGCCACCTCTTCTGGCTGCAATTTCACTTTGATGAGTGAAACATCATCCATGGACATGTGACACCTTGGCCTTACACAACCAGGTTTCTACATCCATCCGATTTCATTTACTGAATGTCAGTTTGGGCAAGAAGGCCATGTTATTACATGGCATACACTCCTAGCTTTTAAATCCATCCAAATTGAAATGGATTTTCCCTTAACGTTGCTTTTATATTTATTAAATTGTTGTGTACTTACTGTCGGTATACAGCCTACTTTTTTATTTGTGCTTGATTAAATACCAGATACACAATTTCCTTACATAGAGGAGAAAAGCCAATAGGAGTGTGTGACGATGCTGTGGGGGGTTGACAGAGAGTATAATCTCTCTCCTGCAGAGAGGGAGGTGGGATTTTCCCAGCAGGCAGTGGGCTTGATCCCAGACGTAGCGCAGTGCGGGGAAGGGGATCACAGAGATGACATTCCCACACTCTAGATGGTTTCACACAAGCTAGCCAAACCCGCAGCCACTAACTGGCGGACTGTGAAATCACTGTCAGGACTAGAGTGAGTCCATCACAGTGGGAGGGCGGGATGAAAGGGTGAGGGAAACGATCAGGGCTCGGTGGGAGAAGGAAAGAGGGGCAGGGAGAGGTGACATTTGGAGGTAGCAGCATGGCTTTATGATCTGGTTCTGATATCCTCATTAAGACTGACTTTATACCTCGAGCTATTCTGCGTCCAACTGCTTCTTTGTTGTCTTTCCCAAACGGACTCTCTCTGTCTGGGCTGAGAAAAAAAATTCAACGTCTTTTTAGTCAAGTGCAGAATGAAATAAAAGGGTCTGTTCACCCGTATACAAGAAGGATTTCATTTCAGTTATTCAATGTGTGGAAATTTATGAGGAATTTAATTTTGTTTATTTGCCAAAAGTAAAAATTAAATGGATGTAAGCTAAACACGGAAGTGGAATCAGCTAAAGATTAGCCTGGCTCTGCCTAACAGCACCTCTAAAGGTCACCCACTAACACAGCATAGTTTGTTTGTTTAATTTGTAGAGAAATTCCAGTCTGGAGCCTGGGGTTTGGAGTTACTGCTAATTACTTGGCAACCTCATTGTGATGACAAGACTCCAGGAAGTCACTTCTGTCAGCCAAGAAAAGGTCCAACATGTTTCTCTCCTCATAAAACCACAGCTTACTTTTTAAAACAGCAGTTTGTGTAGCCAACATTTCTGATGTAGCCTAAATCACATATAATGTGTTAATTAGTCAGCATCAGAGTTGGATTTTTTTTATACTTCTGGACATAGCCATGGCAGCCATTTCCCAATTCTGTGTTTATGTGCTAAGCTAAGCTAATTGTATATTGTTTAAATTGCATAGAGGCTTGACAGTGGTCGAAGTAACGGTTCAGACAAAAATGTTGAAATGCTATGCAGGGTCGGGTTGGGTTCAATGATGTTGGCTGGGTTCTATGAGAAAACTTTATGCTGTACGCTTTTCTCCCGGGCTCGAACGGCAAATTTGCGGCCTGAGTCTAATGAGCACCATAAGGAAACTCTTATCACCATCCACTGTGCCATATGGAGGGAAACATCTCAAAGGTGAAAATCTCACAAAATGGGCAAATAAAGCAAAATCTATCTGCATGGCTTGACATAAGTGAGAAAATGTGTTTTTTGTGTGTGATTACGATTAACTGACCCTTTAATATCAGGGACAAAGAAAAAAAACCCTGAGACTTTTCCTCCTGTAATGGGCGATAAAATACCGCTGGAAACTTCTCATTTCTCCGCACAAAGCACGATAACACAAGTGGATGTGTGCCCTCTGATAATTAAAGCCGTATCACAAAGGTTTGTTCACAAAGCAGAGTGCTCTGCTCACCACCGTACTTTAATTAAGTCTCCTAAACAGCCCTCAGTGCAGATGTAATAAACCTGATATGGAGCAAATGAAGCCCTGAATGAATGGTCTTTGCAGCTGAGCTCATTTCCAAGACACTGAATAGACAATCCTCAGTATGATTCGTCTTGTTCTTCCAAACTAGAAACTCTCTTCTATGAAATAAGTTAACGGCAGATGGTCTGGCTTCATACAGTCATGCATAAATGTCTCTATATGGCCATTTCACTTCAGTTTCTTCGGCACCCTGTAGACGATGAGGTTATTTTGGCCATTAGAATGTTCCTGTGAAAGCTCCCAGTGTTTTTGTTTACAAGTCCCAACTGTCAACAACATAACTATGGGCAATTGGCAGTCCCCACCGCTAACTTTTTAACGAAGTGTTGTGCCAATATTTTCTCTACTTGGAAGGGTAAACAGTTCTTGTTTACGCAAGTGCTATTTTGGAATAAAAAATAAAAAAATCGGGTGCAAGTGTTAGATTTTGTGTGAAATTTTAATGATTTCTTCTCGTCTCTTTTTTTCCAGTGCTTTATTGAGTTCTTTCTCTCATTTTGATGTTGTTACGTGTCTGAGTACGGCCGGATGTATGATTAGGACTGGCAGGTAAGTGATCCTAGCAAGCAGCAGGGAGAGGCATGACATCTATTTTTTAAAACCTCCGACCCTGAGGATGAAAAATGCATGTCCTGAGCTTAGCCAAGGCGGTTTGGGTAATCATTTATGCCAGTGTCTCCAGTCCTGTGTCTCGACCTTACTGGTTGGGTGTCTGACAGGTGATGCGTGATGCCTCGTTCTCCCTCCGCCTCCTACCAGCCCTACTCCTGTCCACTTTGCCTCCTGCTCAACCCCGAGAGGATGCTGTCAGTCCAATCCTCCTTTGATAAGCACCTGTCAAGTTTCCACCTTGACCTGGAGTCAACTCACGATCCACAGTTCCCTTCTGCCTCCCTTCACTGCAGTCCCGGTCTTGGCTCACCTTTATGGCTCCCTCTTAAATCTTCTCCATGTGTCTCTTTTTTGTAAGTGCACCAACCATTTACAAAGACATTCTGCTCTTTGTCATATGTAGAGACGAACTACAAACACAAATCTGAATGTCCGCTGACTGCAAACAGTAGCCGCTGTGAAATTCCAAAGGTGTTCACCTCCATCGTCATACTGGTGAGTAGATAATGAGTGAATTTCATTTTTGGGTCAACTATCCCTTTAACAAGCATGAGGATGCAAAAGGGGACGGTTATGTCATTAGAAATTTGCTTATCTCTTTTCGTACTTAAAGGCAGCATTAATGAGCCTTAAGGAGGATTCAAAAGACAGAGGAAGCAGGTGTGATTAGTGTCCTTGCATAACAATCTTGGATGAAAGTGGCGTTAAGGGGGGGGATTTATTGTGATCCTGTCCAGATGGATCCAAATGACTGAGGTGCTGGTTTGCCATCCCGACATGGTGAGAGAAGAGGAAGGAGATTTGGTTTGTGTTAAGGAGACCTTGACAGACCACAGCATGGTTAGCTAACTTAATTCCAAGATGTCAGGACTGCGGTCTTGCCCAGGTCATCGGGAAACAAAAAAAACAGGAAGGGAACCCAAGAGGTCAAAGTGAATTTAGTCTGGAGAGAGGATAAGAGAGACAAAAAGAGCGCAGTGATAGAGAGGAAGAGCCAGCTGGTGACTTTGTCGTCTATCTAAATTATAACGTGCACCCAATTTACTCTCATTTGCTGTGAAATTAGCTGGGAAATTTGTTTAGATCGTTTCCCCCAGAGAAAACGGAGGGAAGGGGCTCTGGGAATGTGAGGTGGTTGGAGGGAGGTGGTTTTAATGTCACAATAAACAGCCATGTTATCAACTCATTTACTGTGCTAGTCCCAAATTACACCAGCACATTCTATGTAAACACTGTGCCTGTGACAATGAACACATGAGAGTTGTATGTTCGGGATCAAGAGATCTCGATATCTATACAAAAGAAAGTCTATTTGAAAGATTACCTAGATCTTTGAAAGACAATAATGCAGACATTGTTTAAAAGGAGATGACAAGGCTTCAGCAGAACCGATACAACCAAGAGAACTGTCACAAAGCAGTTTCAGTACAACTTCTGTCGTTTCACTGAACTCAGCATTTTCCCTTGAGGCAAAGAGACATAATTAGGTTGACATAACAAGCATTCATTGAAACCACATCATAAGTGGTGTATAACGTCTACAATGTTGTCTAGTTAATTATTCTTATGTGCCACAACAAAGGTTATATACTGTACGCATTCAAAATGTGATGCAAACATTCACTAACTCAGAACGACAACTAAAACTAAACAAACCTTCCAGAGACGCAGCTCCTTGCTCTTCGTTCTTGTCAGGTGTGTTGCACATGGTGACAAGTTTGTGCCCCTGTTACTGTCAGAATGACAGCAGGACTGAGAAAAGGTCTGCTGGTCGTTTAAAGGTTGGTTTACATTTAAAGTCCAGAGAGGATTAGTGCGGAGTAAGAGCACTGCAGGTGGACATAATGCTGTGTCAGACATTTGGGTTTCAGCCAGCTGTTCTCTTTCTCCTCCCTCCATCTTTTCTCTTCTCTCTCTCTTTCGCATGTGTGTGTGCGCACCTGCATGCATGTGCTGATGCAACATTCAGAATGCACACACTTCTGATTACCCCAGAGGCCATTGCTCCCTATTAACCTTCTTACCCTCCCTACTCCCCGTTCTCCACTGGCTCATATAATTTGCACAGCAAGACTTTGAGAGATGGGGTGATGCCAAAGTATAGTTCTCTTGTTGAACTCTAACCTCTAACTGCTGACATGGAACTCATCCAAGAGGCTCTTTAGCCCGATGCTGGTGCATAAAGAAGGATTTCTGCCAGGTTTGTACCTTCACTGCAGCTAGTTAGACTTCAAGATTGATTCAGACATTTTTCTTCTTTGTTCAGCGATAGACTAAATGTAGTAGAAATTATCTAATCAATACTAAATTATGTCGTACCACAAGGTAATTATACTAAAGACATGGTATTATAATGTCAGATGACCCGAAGACTTGTGATTTACTGTTTTCACTCAGTACCTGATTATCTGCTGCATCTGTAGTCGGTCGGGATCTGAGGCTGAGAAAGTTGTCAGGCTGGTGCCCGCAGGGACACCCTCCTCAAAGCGGATGGGTTTCGGGTTTGTGGGGAAATAAGGGGGTTCGTTGACATCCTGGACAGATATGGTGACCCCAGCAGTGGACTGGAGCGAAGACTGAATGCCATTGGCGAGGTGGGCCTGGTTGGACACCACCACTGTCAGCATGAAGGCACGGTTCATCTCAAAGTCTACTGGCTAGAGGGAGAAAAAAAGTTAAATTTAATTGAGTTTAAACTTTATAGAGAACATAGTTTATTGAAAATGAAATTCAGCACGAAGACCCTTCATACTTGAGCACTGCAACATGTACATTTGTGTCGTTAGATTTCCATTAGATCAGTTATCATATCTACATAGTAATTATTGCATCGGTATCATTGACTTCCAACGGACTCCAAAGTGGCGACTAATTTGTTTGTCTTCATTAATTCTCAAGTTACGAGCATTAGGTAAATAAACTGTGATAACTTGAGTACCTATGTTTGTTTGGCTTGCACAAACAATATTTGTATGTGTATAGAGGAAACACTGAATATTCATTAAGGTTCTTGTATAATCTTTTCTTACACATATGCTTTCTTAAGTACAAAACTACAGCCTTTATCCTTGATTTACAGGTAAAAAGAAAACAAGGCCTTTTCTCCTTCAATGGGAAAAAATATCACAGCTACAGTTGGCAGTGTATCATTATTACTATTACATTTTTATGAGTAAACCATGTCAAGTGTTCAAGCATAAGTGTACTATAAATATTATGCTGATTATGGTGTTAAAACCCCTGTCAACATTTCTCTTTCCCCTGTGGCTGTGGAATATGTGTTCAACCTTGTTGATGATAAAGGACAAGATAAATGAACAGATGTCGTGACAAGTGGACACACACACACACACAAACACACACACACACACACACACACACACACACACACACACACACACACACACAGGATAGGAGGATACAGCAAGGCCTATACTATTCATAGGGTGCTCTGGCATTGGATAATTGTGCCTTTTGAGTGAGTGTGTGTGTGTGTGTGTGTGTGTGTGTGTGTGTGTGTGTGTGTGTGTACTCTACAGGGGGGTTTGATAGCTGAGCCTAAATCGGACTGACAGTTTCGTGCTCTTCTAATGAAGACTACACAATCAGGTTCAAATGACAACAACAAGAAGCAAGGAAATAAAAAGGAAAACAAATTACACTACTGGTCCATTTTTGCACGGGCAGATGGTGATTACCGCCGCGAGGCTTGTGTCTGTGGTGTTTGATGGTGATGATAATGACGTTGAGCACATCTGTATGTTGCACTGCCTCAGTGTTATCAATGGATAGCGTGGCAGCAAACCTCTGATATAAAAAAAAAAATCCTTGATCACGCAGCTTGGTTGACAAGGGCACTGGAGTGAATACGTCTGTTTGTCTGTGTATGTGGACACACACACAGGTTTAAGTAAATGTAAGCACATGAGTGTGGATTCGTGTGTGACCCCATGGTGCAGTGGGAACCCATTTACAGGCAAGCCACGCTCAGGGCTCTTTGATCTACGGCCAGTGGTATTCAGAGCACAGGGAGGTCTGGAGTATAGCTGTAGGCAAACTAAAACACACGTGCACACACACACCCTGAGGGACACCAGAGGGGTGAGAGGTCAATAACACGGATTCCATCTTTAGCCCATGAGCCATCACATCTTACATCTCCTCTGTATCGCATCACTGGTTCCTCTCTCTCTTTTACCTACTTTGTTTTGCTGGACTCCAACTTCCCACCCCCTCCTCTATTCACCTCCTACCCCCCATCACCAACTTCTGTGTGATCTATTCCCTGTGGTCCGCATCTCTCGATCCACGGATATCTGTGTCCGCATCACTTCCCCTGTCATCTTCTGTGTTAATCAGAAGCTTTGATTTACATATCCTAATGATTCATGTGAACCGAGCGGGTGTGTTTGTGTGTTTTCCTCTATGCTTGTTTGTCTACAGGCTTTGTTAGCATGCAGCGAAATGAGACTACATCTCATAAACTCCCCAGTGAGCAGAGTAAATGTGTGACATGTTCTGGGTGCGACCCCAGCCCTTGTTTACAGAGGAGCCCAGGTCCCTTCTGGGAAATTGAGGCATACCTGGGTGTCACTGTGTTTCAGTGTGTCTGCATAAGTTGCAGCAGATGCCTTGTTCAAAATAGGAACACCAAGGTAGTGCCTACTTTTGGCTTCTTGATTTTACCCATCGTACCTTGTCTGATGTGAACCATTCTGGCTTCTCTTCCCTTGGAGCTAGCTTAAGCCCCTCTGTTTACTTGTTGAGACAGTCTATTTCTCATCTCTTCCCAGGAGGTGTCCTGTCTGTTATTTCCTGATTTCCTGATAACCTCCCATGGGTCTCCATGGCAGCTTACGGCTACCCGGCTGCCTGCTGACTTTTACATAAGGGTGTCAGAGGAATGGATTATAAAAGGCAGTCATCTAGAGATAATGAAGAGAAGCAAAATGCCAATGCTCATTGCTCTGGGTGCAGTGGGAATTACAGGGAGATGGTATTGCTGTTTTTTCAAACATAACTATGTGATGCGAGATGTGATTTGCAAGAGTGAGATACACGAGCATAATACCCCTGGGTCATTAGGGTCATGAAAATAAACTAGTTATTTCTACAAAACACGTGTGACATGATAATCACATTCACAGTGAACCACTCACGGATGAGCACACAAACACAAATCCTAAAGGCCATTCAACAGGACGCATATTTACACACTTAACATACACACAAAAAATACCATGAATATCAAAAATATATGTTTATTTTTTTGCTGTTTTTCTGAATATTTTCCTGAATGGTTTTAAAACTCTCTGGACAACCTGCGTCTGAGAGGTTGAACACGAACACAAGGTTGTTACAAGACATAGCTTTGTTGTTGCTGTCATTTACCGGAGCGGCTAGCACATTATGGGTGTATAAGAACTGTTGCCTTTGTAATTGAGAAATCAATACCTAATTTGCTACAGTGGTCTCGCCAGCCATTGTGTTTGTGTCTGCGTGTGAGTGTATGAGCTGTTTCTGAAGGGTGCGGCGGCCTCCAATCCCTCATTTGGACATAAAGGGGCACATGAAAGGCAAAGACCCCAGCATGTCCCCATTTAACTTTATAGCCTGTTATTGTTACTTGTGCATGTTCCAGAGGGGATCTCACATTCAAAACAGAAAAAAAAGACATGACACTGTTTCTTCCACACAGCTTTATATAGAACGGTGTCTTACCTTAACCACAGTGACCATGCCATCATTGGTGATGGGGTCAGTGCGGATGGTGAAGTGCCCAGACGGGTCTCCGCTGATGATTCTGTAAATTGCGTTCCAGTTTGGCGAATGTGGTTGGTCGGCATCGATCACTGTCAGATTAGCCACCACAACATCCACTCGATTCTCCGGGACCTCACCAGAAAACTGCAGAGGGAGAAGATGTTACTTTGAAAGATGCTGCTTTGAAATATCTCCATTTTGACAGCTGTTTGAGAGGCCAATTTTTACAAAAAGCCACTAAGTGCCATCTCTCCATTTTTTCTTTTTCTTCAAGTTTTCAGGTAGAGTAGGTTTAATGACCTTGCTTTTAGCACCGCTGAGTCAAGCAGTAAACCCAGTTACACACCAGCAAGTTCATCCACACAGGTGCATAGTTCCAGTTTCAATGTTTTTTATTTTTTCTTCATTCCAGTTAACAAGCCTTGATGAGAAAAAAAACATTTTGTTCCTTTGAAATCCAGAGTGACAGAGAAGGAGGCCGGCAGCAGCAGAGAGGGTTAAAACATCAGTTTGAGTGTATACGAGTGGCTTTTAGTTGTCCCCATGCTGTACAAACACATGTGCTTTGTCCTGATAAGCCTGATGAGGAGTGAGCCGCTGTCTGTCATGTGTCTGTTATGGTGGGGATTGATCAAAGCCATATAGGCTCAGCGGATAAAACCCACAAAGGCAAACCAACCCGTAAAACACAAGTCGACCGCAGCCCCACCTTCACAACCAACCTATCAACTCTTAACCAATCATGTGGGGTCAGAGGGTGAACATGTTGACATGTCCTCACCTCATCTAGAGGCAACAGGCATGTAGCACTATACAGTCACGTGTCACTACTGGTAACAAGCGTGGAAGAGCCACTGAGCGGCTTATGTGAGTGTAGGATATCAAAGAGCAAAGCCCCCGACCAAACACTCAGAAGGACCTTAATACCCTGCCTGGCAACCCTCGCATCACCCAGCAAGCAGCAGCGGGCAGATTAGGAGGCTGCGTCAGGAGAGCTGTTCAGAGAATCAATGACATTCTTAAGACAACAGACAAGTCCGGGTGGTCGTGATGCACTGCCTGCATTGGATAAGTAGGCATGCTTGGTTTGTTGGTATCAGAGCGAGTGTGTGTATGTGTGGTTTATTACTGTGGTCGGGTCCAGGGACAAATGCCAATTCAATGAAATAAAACTCCAGATACTTCTTAAGCTCCGAAGGACCCTTGAGCATCTTCTTTCTCTGTGCACAATAACAGTAACCAGATCTGATGGAAAAAAGTGACTGTCGCAGCTCTGATTATCAATATCCCAGTTCATTCTCCCATTATTTCATCATAAAGAGAGGAATGGACGGGGTTACATCAGGCATCCAAAGCTTGTGTAGAAAGAGTAATTTCATTTTCTCATTTCAATCTCAACATGGTGTGACAGTTTCACGTTTTCTTCAAATAAGACTTTTCAATACAAACATTTAGCAAATAAATCTCAAACGGTTCATTGAAAAGGAAAATGTTGAAAGGCCCAGCATTCTGTAAATATCAATTTAAGGAGGTGCAGGAAGTCAACTATGAGTCCCAAACAACGACGCGGTAAATCAGTCACTGAAATTAAAATCTGTCATCTGCGATTGTAATATAGAATCTGGTTGAACTGTTTTCTGCTCTGATCAACTGTACTGAAGAATTAAGTGTGATTCAACAAACCAAAATAAGAATCTGCAGAGAAAAATAAAAGCAAATCCCAATTCTTCTCCTTGTTTTGTTCAACGTGACGGCTTCTCCACCTCTTTCAGACTTCCTTTCATGTTATTGTCAATGATGCGATGCATCATTTGTGAGTTTCAAAAGAGCATTAGAGTCTCTCTTTGAAAACCATTGGTTCCCTCTCTTTCACTCGTCTGATGAATATTGTTTTGACACTTGATGGTTCGAGCAGTAGAAGTTGCTGCATGACCGTGGTGTCTTTCAGCTCAGCCTCTCTCTGATCCGGTAGCTCTCCCTGCTCTGATACTGTCTCTGGGAGGGTGAGGGTCTTGTGATTGTGACTGGCACAGAGTGCAGTTGACTTTCTCGCAGCACTTGACAAAACACTTCTTGCCAACACCCTCACCCTCCTGTCACCGTGTTGGCAGTGGGGGAAAGACTAAAGCGGGCGAGGGGAGAGGAGAGAGAGGAGAAGTGACAGGATACTTCATCATAGGAACGTTGTGCAGGATTTCTACTGCAGTGCTCAGTTGTCCTCCTTCGTTCACCATCCTCACAGACGTGTTGACTGCTTGACTGTAGGCCTTTACACTTAATTATAAAGTATTCAGTACAATTTACTGTAGCCGCTCCGGTCAAAAAACCCACTAATGGCCATTCACTTTTGTCTGAGATGGGACGGGATCCAATCGTATTCAAATAACGCTGCAGTCGACTCTGATCAGTCGCTGTGGAAACATGACACCCGGGTGTACGTGTTAACTTCCTCTTACTTGTCTCCTTTATCTAAACAGTGCTAATGCTGCACCTTTTCCTGGGCGACTTTATGACGCACAATGAAATTATTATTGTACTTTTTGCTTTTTACACAACAATATGCAACAGCATTTTTTTTCTTCACATCATGCAAGACGCACAGTGAGAGAGCTTCTCAGTTTCCAACGTGATCAAATTTGACTCACCAGGGGAAAAAACTGAATGCAAACTCCTCTGCTGGCAATGAGAAAGGAGTCATTTGCATGAAAAATAGGTTCAGGAGATACAGTTATTGTTGCAGTGTGCTGTATACATAAACAAAAAGAAGAGATAAACAACTTTTTCTGGTGAATCTTATTCATCTGCATCACAGAAAAAAATGCAGAGCATGCATGCACCCCCCGAGTAAGCACCCAAAGCCTTCACATCAGAACACATGCACCACCCTTTGCCGCCTTGAAAAATAGGCCACCCTCTGATAGATATGATGAAATATTAATCATCAACATTAAAGACAAATTCCCCCAAACTTTATATTTCTGGGACACAGTGAAAGATCTACAGGGTTTATTGCAAACGCTAAATATTTGCATAATGGCCTGCATTCTCAACAAAATGGCTTTTACGTTATGCCGCCACTGAAACGGGTGATTTATGAAAGGTGTGTGTAAAAGTGGTCCGCTCGTCGTGGCTCTAAAACGACGAGATTTATCATCAGTTTCCATGATGTGGCGATGGAAATGCACTTAAACACGGTGGAATAAAGTTAGAGAATATTAATCTATTACTGGCCACAATCATCAGTACAGCACCATCAGTGGAGAATCCCAAAGCAAAGGAGGGGAGGGGGAGAGGGGGGGGGGGTGTCTCATGCTTTATCACTGCTGCTGTAGAAAATGGCTCCTTTGACTATTTTTCATCTTGGATTCTGGTGGTGGTCCAGTCATCGACTCCTCTCCCCTCTTTGGTGTCCTTTTTTCCCCCCACCTCTTTTTTGTGTCTTTTCATCCTCCTGTCCCCCCCTTCTCTCTGTACATTTTCTTCAGCGTGTGATATCACAGCTCTCTGACGAGCTCTAAGGCTGATGCATGCTCACCACCATTGATAATTCATCATTACGAGAGTCTTAATAGCCCCCAGGGTAAAAGCTAATGCTAACTGCTTCAAACCTAAAGAGCCTGGGCTACAGTAGAACTGCTGATACGGCTTCAGCTGCTTTCCCTGCAGCTGCGGAGCTAAGAGCTGCATCTGCCTGTGAGGTTCGTGCTCTCATCGCTGAGGAGATGCGTGGAATAAGTCTGAAGACGTAGTGACACCCGCAAGGATTTCTAACCTGAAAATAGAATGCAGACAAACGGACACCATCTTTCCCTCCCTGAACAAATGCATGCCTTTGCCACAATAAATCAAATGTTGACTCTCTCAGCCATGCAAATAATAAATCAAGTTTTTTCCCCAATCCGTCAGCGAGAAATATTACCACCTCATATGACACGCATACGTCTGAAGATTCAGTGGCTCTGAGAGAAATAATCCAGAGAGTTACAGTGGAATAAAACCACATTAACTTTTTAACAATACTTTTTTTTAACATCACTAATTAATTAAGTGATGACGTTGCTGAATTTCCCCACCAGTGATACCATACATTATATCCAGTCCATTACTCTGGGCTTTGGAATTTTACCTCGTTCTTAATAATGACCGTCTGTAATGTCATCATCATTCTAAATATCACAATCACGACAACAATCATTAACAATTCGCTGGCTCTGGTTTTTTTCTTTTCTTTTGCTGATGAAAGTCAATGATATGGATTAATGTGTGTGTGTGTGTGTGTGTGTGTGTGTGTGTGTGTGTGTATACAAGGAAATTACCATTTGCACTCCATAACCAATGCAAGTGTAATTACCTTCTTTCTCCTTTCTTTATTCCAGTGCTCTCTCTTCTCTCCATCTCTTCACCCTTTCTTCTCGTCTTTAATGTCTTTCACTTGCTACCCTATTATTACACTTTTGCCGTAGTGTCATTACTGCGAATATTTTCCCCTCCGTTATACAAAAAATCTTTGTCAATATCAAAAACTACCACAAACACTCCAGAACCAGTAGGTGGTGATAAAGTCCACTTCAATGATACTAAATATCCCTGTTAGTGTGGACAGGTCATTCATTTCCACAAAACCCTCATCCCTCATCTGTAGCAACTCACCGTTCTGGAGGTCAACATGGGAGGGTTGTCGTTGATGTCAGTGACAGTGATAATGGCGGTGGCCGTGTTGGAGAGGCCAAAGTTCAGGTTGCCCTCCATGTCCGTGGCCTGCACGATGATGGTATACTGAGACACTTTCTGTTGAAGGCAGAGAGGAAAGAGACAACAGTGTGCAGTTATTGTCTGCAAAACAGCTTTCATTTTCTCTCTTCTAAGCAGCAGCCACATACTGTGATTCCCAGAGGAGAAAAAAGCAGAGCCTGTGCTCTGTTCTTTAGTCACTGTCCACAGTCTTATATGAAAAGCAGAATTGCAAGGGTGAAGTCTTTTATCGAAATAACTTGAAACCTCCTCACGAAAGATTTCCAGCCTTGACACCCTCTGCAACGGCTGCACTGTGAAGTCTGCCCCTCATGGACGGACGTGAGGACAATGATCTGACTGACAGACTATGGAGACAAAATGTGAGACAATGATAAATGCCATCATCTTTTAAAATGACACAGCGTTTCTTCAATGGAAGCTGCAATATGCTTCTCTTATTTGTGTTTTTTGTACTTGGGTGGGTTTGTGCTGCTGCAGCCACCTTCCCTCCCCATGCCTCCTCTCTCTTCCCTGGCATCCTCCATCTCTTCTCCTGTCCCAGGGTGCAGTTAATGGGCTGCAGGACGGATGGAGCCCAGGAGCCGACTGTCTGGATAATGTGTCTCGACGCTGAGATTCCCAATTACATTCCCAGTCTCTCTCTCACCTGCTAATTACTGAGTAAATATTCCAATTAGGGCCAGGACGCCACATCAGGAGGATTAGACAGCTCCTCTCAGAACCTCTCATCTTGATGCCAGACAAGATGCTGAACTCCAACCTTGCACTCACGCTCTCATTAACACCCACACATACACACAAGCACAGACAAAAACACACACACACTGTTTTTTCCCTCCATATCTTATTTAAAAGCAGTGCTCGCCTGACTGTCCCATCAGCCTGTGTGTACAGCGTGTACACAACACTCTCACTAATTAGACAAGGGAGTAATTATGTAGAGCTCCACCGAACCTTTCAGCTTTGCAACAACACAGCGGCATGACCAGGTTCCTCTGGAGAACCAAGGTCTGTTACTGTCAACAAGCTTTTTAAAAGTCCGCTGCAGACCAGTGCAAAGAGGGGAATCGGTGTGGGAGTTTATAAAGGAGAGGAAGAAGACATTTCAAAAGTAAAGAACAGAGGGGAGGAGGAGAGACAGCAGGGGAGGCAGCAGAGGCACAAGGGAAGAGGGCTACCAAAAATAGATGCCTATGTTATTTTTTGTGTCTTTTTTTCGAGGCACCTAACACCTCCAACAACCCCGCCAAGGAAGGGAAGGGAGACACAGAAACTTTTCAAGTTTCAAAGGGCTAAAGTGCTAACGGAAAGTGGACCAGAGAAGCACTGCAGTCTGCATCTTCCTATTCAGTTTATGTACAGTAGAGTATAGAAGCTCAGCTTTTCTCACTGCAAGGTTTTAGACTTCTTATCTGCTCTGAAAGGGGAATGTCTTAAGCAAACAGGAGTGTGCGTATGTTTGCTTCAGTCAACGTCTGTCCCTGTCAGAGCCAATCTGAGTGTTAGGGAAAGAGGGCCTTTTTTTTGGAAAGATGTGCCGTAATGTCTGGTCCGCACTTCACACACAGTGTTTACTGTTTGAAGGTAAAGCAAGAATCGGGATTAGCTTCCAAGTTGGGATAATACATGTAGTTGTGTTAGTTAAAGATCTGAAACAAAGAAGATAATCAGGTTTACCGGACTTACACTTGATATTAAGATGCTGATATGGAGACGATGTCCCCTACTAGCGGACCTGGTAGCCCTGGATAACTTTCGTTCTGACCAGGCCCTTTGCTGCGTGTCTTCCCACATTCTTTCCTCCCATTTCACACTTGAGCTGTCCTCTCAATAAAGGCTGAAGTGGCCAAAAAATTGCTTTTAAAAAAGTGCAAATTAGCTCTGTGAGGCTGACAAATTTGTCAACAAGCATGACCTTGGGTCAAGAGAAGAGATGCTGCTCTGGGCTTTACTGTCTGTCAAGGCAGGGGTGGTCTGTATTTTGACTTGTTTGACGTGGCAGGAAGACGTGAGCTCTTATCTCGTTGGGCAAATGCTTCTTTCTGTAGAATATGGTCAATCTGAATAGGGAACACTATCACGTAGAATAGTCACATCTATCAGCCGAACCTCCCCTCATACCTCTCAAACTCACTCTGGCACCCCCAATGTCTCATGTCAATCACCCCATCTTCTTTTCCAAATTCACACTCACTCACTCCACCCTCATCATAATACCACATCAGCCTTGCTCCCTTTTTGTTCAGTCATTTCCTCCAGTTTCCTTTTGTCACCTCCACTGCCAGTGTTTTATGGAGTGTAGATGTGATTATATGGGCTTTTGTGTTTGTCTGACAGGTGTCAAGGGCATTCCATCTCAGATATTTCCACTCTATCTTCACCACACAAACGCACACATGCAACACAACACGAGCAGCCCAATGCAGCGTGATGTGTTGTTAATAGGTCTGTCACCGGTGACAGTTTGGGACGATGATCTGTCTCTGAGATTTCTTTGCAGAGTTGTCTTTGGCATATCCATGCCGCGTGAATACACACATTTGGATCTCGGCACAACTTTTATAGCTCCATAAACAAGGTGACCGCAGAAGCAGGCAATTTGGTGTGAAAAAAAGATGGCTTGATGTGGGTTTGTATGTGTTTGTGTGTGTGTGTGTGACGACAAAATATTTTTAAGTCACATCTCAGAGTTTCATCAAAGTTGTTGGATAAACGATGATTTGGGTATATCTTCTAACTAGCAGCACATGTTTGGCTTAATTTGAATGATAGCTGGGATGAAGCTGACCCACCTCTCGATCGAGACCCGGCGCCACCGTCACGATATCTCCCGTCTCGCTGTTGATGGTGAACATGTTGGGAATGGGGCTGTGCGGCGTCTGGGACAGGATTCGATAGCGCACCATTCCGTTAGCGGTGGTGTTGTCGTCCGCATCGAACGCCGACAGGTGCATCACATATGTTCCTGAGGAAGACGATAACATTTTTCAACATTTATAACATAAATGCAAGTACTCCAATAACAAAAAATAAAAATAACTATGTCATTTTAAATGTTTATCAAAATACGAACATTTGTTTGACCTTTATCTGTGTTAACGTAGGACTGGGTAAAACTTTAATGATGACATAACACAAGTGTCCTTTTGAGAGAAGGAGAGTTTAATATATTGGTGACACAAATGCACCCTTAACTGCTTCATTACACCTAAATACACTCTCATTACAGCCTACAGGCCCATTTACACTCCACCTTACATATATTTATTCGTTAACGGACAGAGCCCTCTGTCTGAAATGTTTTCTAACTATTCTTGTGTAACTGAATTGACTATGTTTCAAAATGTCACAGCTAACAGTTACAATATACAACTGAATCTAGGGGTTGGAAATGAAGCATTATTCTGTCTTTGCTAGTTGTTTGCTAATAGTAAATTTCTCTGTCCTTATTTAACGGATCATTTTGTGCTACCATGCCTTTTATTAGATCATAAAACAAGAGGAACAAATGCACTGTGTGCACTGCAATACTATCTGTAATCAACCATCCTACCAACAGATTTTAATGATATACACTGGTTATATTCACACACTGATGCTGGTTAATGTGAAGATGAAAGTGCTTAATATACCACAAACATAAAGTAGATCTACATGCAGACATTACTCACATTATACTTATTGTACTTTGCATGAATCAGATTATTTTGATATTGCTTCGTTTATTACTTAGCAAGTAATCTAGATGTTAGATGCCAGTTTCTTACATTGATCTTTACTGATTAATGCAAACCTTGAACAGATTCTGGAGATGAAAATGTCTCCATCTTGAAGGGCAAGTAAGCACAGGCATAAATATGTAGACACTGTTGTGTTGCAGAGCTACCCTTGAACGCTGCCTGTTGGTTTTCCTGCCTCCATACACACTCACATAACTCTGCGGCATCACTGCCTGTCACCCAATCTTTCCATCTCTCTCACTCTCTCTCTCTCTCTCCCCTCATGCTCCCCCTCTCTCGTGGCTGATTGTAATTGCCAGAGATAGTGATATCATCCCAGTGACAGCCCCTGTCCGAGGATAATTGTAACCGCAGCTCCCATTTCAAACTTCATTACATTTCAAAGCAACATTTGTCAATGACTCGGCCAGAGGGAGCACTCTAAAGGCCTCTCAGCGAGACGAGAAATAAAAGCGAGGGGGAGCAAAAGAGAGAAATAGAGGACAGACTCCATATTTGGTTAGATTCCAAGAGGAGTGACTATCAGTCCTTCACCCATCTTTATTTCTTTTAGATGGAAGGATAGAGAGAGGGAGGTGAAGAATCACAATGGCATCACATCAGCGGGGTAATTTCATTAAGCTGCACTCTTAGGGGGTTTAATGTGGACCCTTTGTACGGGCGTCCTAAGCTGTGCCTGACAGGATTAGGTCCCCATAATGACTCTTTAATTTGCAAACTAATTCAAGTCTGTAATTGGCCTTCCATTGAAACTACTGGAGCTCTAAATTCTAAAACGCTATTTTTTTTTATGATTATTGTTTAGCAGAATGTCATGCACGCCACAGAGACTCGTCTGCTGTGTATGTGTGTGCATGTGTGTGTGTGTATGTGGGATGGGTGGGGGTGCGCTGAGGGGAAAGGGTAGCAGAGAAAGAAAGAGAGAAAGAAAGAACAAGGAAGAAAGAATTTTATTGCAATTCTGGTGCAATAAACTTGGCCTCATCACACTCAGACTCACACACATGCATGCACACACAGAGCTCATCTCTGAGATTCTTGCGCTCTGAGGTTACACATAAAATGACCCAGTGGTGCTACAGAGTGGCGCATTTAATCCTCAATCTCCTCTCCACCCTGAGCACCTCTTTGCTTTATGGCCACTGCTGAAGCCGACTAAATGAAAAGTCACTATAGGAGACAGATCCTCCGTCTGCTAAATCAGGGGGAATGGAAATTTCACAGTTGGGTCAAAGACTGCCTGGTGCCGTCATACTTACCACACAATACTAGTCGATCTTTGTCCCTCCCTTCGTATTTAATACAATTGCACATTTCTTTAATCCTTCAAATGTTTTTAATGTTTAATTAACACGTGAATACTGAGTTTGCTCCTCCTTCACACTTTACTTGATGTTTTGTGTACCTGGTTTCGAGCCTTCGTCCACGGAGCCATTATACACCTGGTTTTTAAACTCAGGTCTGTTGTCGTTCATGTCGATGACGAAGATGTACAGATCGATGGGGTTCTCCACCTGGTTCCCATTCATGTCCACAGCATGGGCACGCAACTGAGAAACACAAAAACTTAAAGATTATTTCATGTTACAGCACAAAACTGTTGGGAGAGAAAATCCACAAAACCACATTTCACTGTACTTTGGATCAATTTCAAAACTATGGAACCTGCACATATTTTACTTGAAGTTGAATACTTGTGGTCAGAGATGGTGATTGAGGCAACTTCCAGAGTGAATTACTTAATAATTAAGGGATTTAGGCCACAGGTATTTTGTCTGAAGATACAAATGTCAGTTTAATTATGTTGTGTTATTTATAATTATATATATGTAGAAAAATAGCTGCTTTAAGAACCTCAATTCATTCATCATTCATTGTATTACTTGTGAAACCACAACTTCACTCTGAGTCTGCTGTCTCCATCAATATCCGGCTTAAATTACTAACTTGTGCTTTTTTGTGCCTTCATTTTAAGAGCAAATTTTCAAAACAAAACAAATTTTCCAAAATCATTTCTGAGATACACACCCTTACTCTTTCAGAGTTTTCCCAGATGTCTGCACACAGGGAGATGCAACATTAATAAAACAAAAAAACTAACTGTGAAAAACTGGATTTATCCTTCAAAGTAAAAACTTTCAAAGCTGAACAGAAAAATACCTGAGCAGTGTTTTGTGAATTGGGCGATGAAACGCTCAATAACACAGTGATTGATAATACATGCATTATTGAATTATAAAGTTTATAAAGACAAACCAAAAGATTCAACTGAAGTCATAAGTCAAATTCTGGATATTTTTCTTGCCTTTGCGATCGTGTGCTTTGTCCAGACTTCTTATCTTTTTTACCCCAGAAGTTTTTATCTCAGCAGGCCCAAAAACCAGAAGCATCTTATTTTATTGGAAGTTGGCCCTGCTGCAAAGGCGAGGTGTCTGTTTCAGGATCACAGTGATGAATCCCGAGCCAACATTCTCTTTGATTTTGTTTGAAAGACAGTCGTGAAATCTCCTCAGAGTCGGCCCATCTCAAATTCAACACGGATGTGCTCAGACCAATGGAATCACCAACTAGGATTTTCTCACAAAGTTTTGACATGAAGTTATTACTGGAATCAATACGTGATATATAAACCAGTCCTGGCTGCTTTCTCTCTTATGAAGTCTGGGGGAAAAACACACGAACTGAAAGAGAGCTTGAGAAAATAACAGAGTTATCAGGGAAATGTTGAGTTTGAATGTTTGTGGTCTGTTGTTCTGCAGCCACACGTGAAGGTCAAAACAACAGACCAAAGTGGCATCTGAAAATGAACTGCTCGCTTCAGTTTAAGGCTGTTTTGATTCACTTCACCTTACCTGGGAATGTTTATATCCCTGAACATGACTTATTCAGTGATATTCCTGTCAGGTGGTAGCACTGGGGGATATGTTTAGTTTATACGAAGGAGGAAAGAAAAAAGAACTCAGATACTATCTACATCCTGCTCCTAACAACATAGGCTGATAAATATTTATTCTATTAAAATGTCAGCAATCGATTCTTAGAGCAAAGGCCCCTCCGACTTATGGGTTGTTAAGGATATCAATCTATAGGAAGGCCAAGGGAAGAGAGGCCAGACGGCTCTTCTGGAAACAGATTGTAACATGAGCCTTTTTTCCACCATGTATGGAGAATTCAGGGGAATCGTTCTCTTTCCAACTGTCTGATGGGAAACATACTACCTGGTCACTGCAGCAGCATGAGAGCCAGATAAGTGAAATACCCTCTAGGCTCATTTCAGCAGGAAATAGAATAAAAAGCATTCTCCATCGGCTTCCTCTCCTCAGAGAGGTGAAGATCTCCTCCGCTGCTGCCTGTCCACTCCTCTCCACTGTCTGCTTCCACTCTACGCCTCCACTGAAATTCTGTCTTCAGGTCTCCCTGAGGTTAATTTGACTTTACTTTTTCCACTGCATTGTCTGATCTGTCCTGCACCCAGTATCCGCGCACGCTGCCATTGCATCTCGCCGTGTTTGGAAGCCAAGCCCCTTATCTACACCAACCCTCATCCCTCCATCCTGCATGCACCCACACCCTAATTCAATAACAGCAGGAGTCAGAGATTACCGGCATGTTTAAAGAAGGCAAAATGTAATTCTGGGTCCACATTAAAGTTATTATCTTGAAAGGCAGGGGGAGAAAACAGAGCGCACCATGCAGTGCTCTGCATTTGGCAAAGAGGAAGCATCCTGATAGAGATAACAGCAGGCCAGATGCTCCAAGGTTTTTCTCCTCATAAGAATGCGTCTTATGTTGCTTGGCTAGTTTTGAATTTCAGAGTGCTCATTCTTTTGAGAGAAAAAGAACCAGACCATAACTTTGTTCTGCCCTTGCATGAAATATGAAGTAAACAAATGAAAGAGCACAAAGTCAAAAACTTTTGTGTGTTGTGTTGTAGTTTTCCAGGATAATGTTGCTCAGTAAATACAGTATCTTTCGTCCCTAACAGCATCAGAGTAATTGATCGGAAACACCTTCCCTCATCTGTTTACATCTTTACCTTGTCTCATTTGGTTTCCCCCTTCAATTTGTATTCCACACCATTAACGAACACTTCTGCTCCACAGCAAACACTGAATTTAAGTAAAGCAGCCTTTAGAAAGCCTTTGCCTTTCTTAACAAATCACCTCATTGATTGGAGTTTCTCGCAGGTATTAATCTGCTCGGCTCCCACTAAAAGCTTGGGCCTGCCAGCTCTCTAGGACTGTTACTCAGACTCCACTCCCATAGAAAAACAAGGACGGCGGTACAGAGACAAACCAGACACAGAGAGTGATAAACCCACTGTGGTTACTACACTACACCAAAACCTTCTTTTAATGGCAGCAGATAGAGCAGCTCAGGCAGAAATACAAGAAGTTAGTGCTTGATTAAACTTTAAATACACTGACTGCTTAATATGCCCATTCTTAGAGCAGCATGCACAGCTCACAGGCTGCGGAGAGATGCTTCAAAAGAAGCAGAGCCACGACAGGTGTCGCTATTCATGGTAGGAAATGGCTTCAGACCAGCACAGCCATCAGCCACCTTTTCACATTTCTGTTTCATTTTAGGTTAAACTGTCAATAAAGATGGACCGCTTCAGGATACTTCATGAGGCCCCACCTCCACCATGTTAGTGGATGGGACATAGACAAAAACCGAAAGTCAAAATACACACCAAATCCCTTTTTTCTTAAAGATAGTTTTAGGTAGTTCTCATCACACTGGTGTATTTCCAACTGCTTATTTTTCTAGTAAGTTTGGTTTTGATTAAATATTTGATGATATAAAACCAGGTGAGACATCATGATGGTAATCGAGGACCTTGAAATGCACAAGATGGCGGCGTTCCTACCCTGAATATTTGAGCTGTAATTCTGCAAAGTGTGGGGGAAAAAAAGGTGCATCACTCATCTTTATATTCAATCTACAGATTAAACAATCATTATACAGTGGTTTGTTTCCTCAGCCAAGGTTGATCTCTGATTGACTCTGAACTCAGTGATTGATTATAACATTCTCTGACTTAATACTTCATTCCACCCAGATGCTTTGCATATAACACAAAGTGGATATGTGCAAATTGGAGATTCCATCATTCTTTTCAACATCATTATGCACTAGACTAATGCTTGCTGTGATTCAATGTGTTCATGCTTAATAACGTAGTGCAGTATTCGTATGTAATGTTTATGGAATGAATTTCACTTAATAGCTTCTAAAGCTCATTTGTTTTGTTCATAATTTCTTATATTATGTGTTATGGTTTTTCTCATGTGTAACTACACAGATTCTGAGTCAGACCCATTTCTGTTGCAGTGGTAAAGAAACTGTTTGTGTCAAAGCGTTTAACGGCTTTATAATAATGTTCACGAGTTTCATCTCAAAAGTCGTTGCTGGCGTTGTGTGCATGTACGTGTGTGTCAGGCCGAGAGAAAGAGAGACGGGGCGAGAGACACTCACGTGGTAAGAAGAGCGATGTTCTCGATCAAGAGGTTTGGTGACAAACATCTTCCCGAGCACGGGGTCGATACTGAACACCTCATTGGGCGGTTGATCCGCTCCAACCCCAGTGATGCTGTATCGGATTGAGATGTCCTGGTCCTGGTCAGAGCGAATCTGCATCACATGAAAGAGAAGAACACAAAATGAATCAAGTGATTATCGGTCTCATGATGTGTTTCTAGAAGCGACGCCACTTTCTATCATATTTCCGTCTCTACCGAAAAAAACTAAAGTCATTCACACAGATCCCCACGGCCAACCTACACCTATCAGTGAAATACACACAGTGAGGTGTTCATTATTCAAGAACCAGACTGTGAAATATAAAAACTCCAGAGTTTAATAATCTAAGAAACCTGATATTACATATTATTCACTGGAAAAACACACACACACACACCCACACACGCACACACACACACATCACAGTTTGGCATTTGGAGGTAGCAAATACTCAAGGATTCCATTAGTGCGGCTGCAGGGAGCACTATGCATTCTGTTTGGCAGAATTGAACTGCTTCAAAAGAGAAATTTAAATTCAATATTTCTGGGAGGGATAAATGAAATTGACATTTATTTACTTTGACGGTCAGGTAGTGATTTAGAAGGACTTCCCTTGAGTCATGCTGGGAATACAGACAGGCTCTGAACAAAATGGCAATTAGAGAAAGGTAAGGGAAGATTTGAGGTTATAATTTTTATGTGATTAGGGAAACAACAACAGCCAACATAACAATAAGGAAGAAAAATAGGGCAGAGGAAAATAACAGTGTCAAAACCAGGGTGCACATGAGAGCAGCGTTATTTATTAACCATGGTATATTAGAAGCACAAAGTTTTTTAAAAATAAAATAAAAAAGGCTCAGCTTTCCTTGCTGGTGAACAGCTCCGAGCATTGTGCATCATAGGTCTGAAGTAACTGGGCCTCATCTGGAGGAGTTTTTCTATTTAGTGCCAAAATGATCCAAACCTCCGAGCCTACTCTCTTTCCAATAAGTACGTGACAACCTGAGAACATCAGCTGGTGTATCAAAATGACTCAATCATACACACACACGCGTACGCACACAGTAAGGCCCAACCTTCTTGTTCTATTCGAGGACTGTTTCAGTGGAGATGCTGAGTGCAGAAGAGTAAGACTGTCCAAAGTTGTCTCCATCTTTCACCACTCGTGAAACCAATTTAGCCACACTTTTGACACACCAGGAATTCTGCCTCGCTGAGAAAATTGCCGGAGCAACTAACAAGGACAAGGTAAGGACATACGGTATTAGACAGGTGTCATCCTGACTCTTCCTGCTGGTGGAAGAAAAACATGTCACCATCACCAACACCGCTATTATCACAATCTTCCTTGTCTAGGTTTCGGCAGCCACGTTATCATCAGCTCTCTTTTAAGAAATGCGCAGTCGAGGCCCGTCTCAATAATCAAACCAAAACAATCATTTAAAGACACCTTAGCTGTGATAATGCAAGAGGAGCAGTCATGACAGCTCACTAATTCTATTTGTGCATGTCTGTGTTTATGCGTTTTCTTTGGGGAATAGCGAGCGGAGAGCATCAGCACGCTCTGCACATATCTCAGCGAATTACTGCTGACAGCTATGATAATTAACGAGCTGCAGACATCGACTGCTCTTACTTCAAAGAAAATCCACCCGTTCAACAGCGACAAACTAACAGATATTCAGCAAGCAGCTCTGTTGAACTCCCAATGTACTGCCATTACCCTCCTGTGCAGGCAAAGCAACAAGACCACAGCACGCCAACTCCATCTACCTCTCCTGTCGCATTAGAAAATACAAGCAATTACTACACATCCGCCTGCCAAACTGTCTCCCTCTCTCATTCATCCCCCTGTTCTTCTTGTTTCTCCTTTCCCCTGCCCTCCCTTCTTCTCTCCATCTCCCTCTCTCTCATTGCCACTCCTCCCCTTTCCTCTCTCTCCCCTCCGCCATACTCTCTCAGCACTTTCTCTCTCCCATTCTCTCTTTCTTCCCTTCAGGTCTCTGTGGGGACAGAAGCCATGCATAAAAAATGAAATTACTTCAATCCGTTGGCCCTGGCAGTGGTGTATAAATCCTCACTAGTTAGGAAGTGATAGCTCTTCATAATTCCATTTGGGTTTTCCCCGCCCCTCTGGTTTCCCACCCGTTTCCAAGTTGTCCTGCTTGGGGGGTGGAAGAGATTCAGCTCCATTTTTCCACAGTCTTTCCAGCCAATTAGCTCTCGCTGCCACAATGTTCACGTAGACGTTTTAAATTGCTAAGGGACGACGCCAGGATCCTAATGCTCGACCAAATATTTGTGCGTGGCTGCATGTGAGCACATACGCACATTCGAGCATGGACACTTTCTTCAGCTAGTTTGTTTGTGCCAATTAATAATGAACACAAAACAGAGAATGCATCCACACTGTTTCACCTCCAGTCCTTACACTTGGCTTGTTTGTCTCGGAGACGACAACAGGCGAAGTGATGACAAAGTGCCTCTGCCATGACGCCTGGCTCATGATTAATAATAGTATATAATAAATCACATGCATACATGCTTATGTGTTTAAGGGATCCAATAAAGGCTGTCAAGAAAATGAGCCAGCTAAATGTTAAATGCTCGTCTTCTCCTTTTATCAGAGAGTATCTCGACAGACAGGATGTCATTTCAGCAGCAGGCAGCTCTCAGTGTCATTTTGCCATTTCTCAGCTCCAGAAAGGAAGTCAATGTGCTGGAGAAAAAAAGCCTCACATGACAAGGATGAAAAAAGCTTCTCATGACTGTATCAGGGCTTTTTATTTCCTTTAATGAAAAGAGGGAGGCTCTCTCTCTCTCTTTCTTGTTACACCGCTATCTTGCACCTCGAATGGGATGCACAACACCAACACACATACACGCAAATAAATAGTGAGGGAGTGCCAATAATGATCTAAGATTTTTTATTCTGTCTTTGTCTTTTTCTTTTGTTCAATCTGATTTTTTCTGCATTGTCTTGATAATGTGTGTGTGTGTGTGTGTGTGTGTGTGTGTGTGCGTGCGTGCGTGCGTGCGTGCGTGCGTGTCTGTGTGAGAGAGAGACTGGACGAGAAGCGCTCAGCCAAGAGAGGCTGTTAGAGAGAGAGAGAGAGAGAGAGAGGAAGTCATGACTGTATCATTAGGCATCAGAAACTCGACACCATTTAAATGACCCATTTGTCAACAGATCACAGCCGTTGCCTTCATTACTGACAACTTGTCGGCTTCTTAAGGAGATCAGATCAGTGAGCTTAGCTCCCGTCTGCCAGGCAAAGCTGAATCAAATGAGAAATTATTGTGCCACTGGGTCTACGGGGACAACAGAAGAGGGAGATGGAGGGGAATGAATAACACAGACGCGCTGTTCTGCTACTAGTTACTGGGGTGCTGAGAAATTTAACAATCACTTAAAATTTGTGTTAACTAACGCTAACAAAGTATCCAGCTACCGCTACTTAGAAATGTGACCACACTGCATGTTGTAGAAACACGACGGCATATTTTAATGATACGAAGAAATACATATTTAAATGTGATCTATACTGCCAGCCTACAGGGTATCATGAGTATGAGATATGTATAAATACATGAGAAGATATATTCATTCAATGGACTCTAATGAAACAGATCAGTTAACATATATGGGGTCAAAACAATATTAGAAACACTTTGACATACAATATATAACAAGTACTCCCTGTACAATACCAACAAAAAACTACTAAATATCCAGAAATATCTGACTGCTTTACAACCAGTCCTGTTTTTACTGAAACTATTTTCTGGTCCCACAAACCAACCAAAGGAGATGGGAGACTATTTCATTCATGATGGATAAAGAGGTAAAATTGCACCAGTCAGATGATGATCTTAGACATTGAGTGCTAATTACATTTAAAACTTCCTATTAATCCATCCTCCATCCATCACTTATTGTCTGTCTGTCAGCTTTGTGTCATTAAAATCAGACCAGTCAGCAAATCATTTTGATTATTTGTCTCAAATGTCTCTAGTATTTCCTGAAACACTGCCCGGACATTCATTTATCACAGTTTCAATAATAGAGATAAGGACGGGAGTGACGTACTTGACTTTCAGTGGTGGTGCAGTAATAAACTCACTATTAAACTTATGGAATCGTCACAGTTTGTTTAGGTTAGGTTTAGGATACGATTGTGGTTTAAATGAAAATTCCCCCTTAAAGGGTCCAGAACCTTTGTCATCATACAGTAATAAATATGTAGTTTCTCTCTGTACTGTCGACATATTAATTCACACCAACCTTCTCCTGAGCGCTTCACACTATCTTCCACACTACGACTGTTAGAGGTCACGTAACAATAAAACTTAACAATGGGTTGTAATAAGGAGCTCGCACAGATGACCTGAGTAGTTGCGTTTTACGGTCTCTTGAAATCAATGCATGAGAAATGTACTTAACACATTGTATATCAGTGTTTTCTGTACTTTTATATGCACCACATTTCATGTTTAATGATTAACAACTTGCAACAATATGCAACCAGCAGTGGCAAACGTTTATCATGGCAAACACTGACTTATTCAGCGATCTATTATTAAGGAAGCTGAAAATCAAAGAATGATTATTTTTGCCGTTCAAGTCAGCCGGGGTCACAACAGCTACATTTTCTGAAGAGACGATGTGAGTAACTGCTAAATCCGAAGCCATGAATACAAACACAGCTAACTGCAGATCATCTATAATGAGATCACACCAGCCAACAGGTTGACATTTTGACCCATGAGTCAACATAGCACATGAGTGCATATCCACATGGGTGGTATTTACATTCCTCAATTAAGAAAGTGCAGATAAGATCCATTCATGCAGTCTTGATGTTTGGATTCACATCTTCATCCAAGCTAAACTGAGCCAGGTCAGATTTATATTCATATTCAGTAAAACCAAAACAAAGGCGACATGTACTGGATTTGTTTCTGACATTTGATCTGTGTTGAACACAAGATGTGCATCGCTTTGTTTATAGAGAGCAGATTTAAAACTCATGACCTCCCTTTTGTTTTTTATTAAATTTTGCTCAAACACATGACATAAGACGGAGGATGTATCAGATGTGGCTCCA